GCTACTAAGAGCACATGATAAGCTCGGATAAAAAATAGTGAGATATGGATTTCTTGAATGTCAACAAAATAGTTGGAATTCCAAAATTATGAAGTCTAAATTAATACACTGATTAGAGATATACACAACAACCATGTAAAAATTTGATGCTATTAAGTATCTTGAAAATCTTTGTAGCTGCAAAGCATACTACAGATGAGAACACCATATGCAACAAAGTTAGTGCCACTAGATTGGGGAAGTAGATCTCTTCCGAGGATAACACCCACTGCAAATCAGGGGGAAAAACACTTACCAATGCTACAAAAATATGAAATGGATATTTTCCATAGAAATAGAATCCATCATCAGTACTTATAAGCACAATAGCACATCAATGAAATTATGATAGCACTCCAGAACAAAGCATCACAAATAGAAGTATGTTGGAAAGAGGTTTCTCAATCTTTTCAGCGACACATTTCACAGCAGACCAGGTCTCGACAGTCGGCGGCGACGCCGACGACTGATATGCATGTGACGAAGAGGGAGGGAAAATAGTGCCTCCATCCTCCTAAGAATAATGCTAGCTAAAAATTGCACGTATGCAAGCTAATGCCTTATTACAAAAGCAGAATGACTTGTGTAATGGTGTTTTGGACCCTACAGGGCATTATAATGGGTAAGCTGACATACAAATCTCAGAGAACCATATGAGATTCAGAGGTAGGTTGCTATTTGTAGTGTGTCTAAACAGAGGTGTTGACGTATTGTTTGAAATTTCCAAAACCAGCATCATCTAATCAATGTAATTACACTGAAAAATTATTCATATTTTATCACGGCATATCACTTTATTCACTCTCGGTGATATCATGCATGTCCTTCAGTTTATTCAGATGATCATGGGCATGTTGTGTTTGGATTAACTAAGCTAACATACGAAACTGCGTACTTGCACAACGTTAGATCATCACTCGCATAACTGAAGAACATTGCATGGCATCAAAATTCTTTGACGAAGTTGATTCAAACGAAGGTACCAGTTACCGATTCATGAATCTACTTCACATTGTACAAAAAAAAACATGCCCTTCCATATTTTTCTGTTTTGATATTACCTTGTACAAATATCGGATGGCAGTAAAATCAAACACGCATTTGGGTTGTTAATGTTAGGAGGATTGTTGAAAAAGGCCGGTATACTAATATTCGTTGCATCAGTTCAATTAGGGAAACGTTCATTGCATCATAAAGACCGGTGTACTAATATTCTTTTTGAGACTTATATTTAGGAATGTAGTGTCAGTGCTACATCTACCTGGCACTTCTGGTGAACCTTTCCCACAGATTTAGAGGAAGGACATATTCATACTGAAATCCAATAGAAAGTAGGCTAGTTAAATCTCAAAATGACATCTCCCACAATATTCAGAGTACAGTCAATACCATTAAGCATTTGGGTCGAATAGATTTGCATATGGCATAAAGCCGCCATCTAGGCAACAAACTGTCGCTACACCTATCCAGTTGATGAAGGGGCGCAGATAGCCTGTGCCTAATATCAAACAGACATCGCAGCCAAGCCTAACATCTAAGACCTGAGACCCCAACCTATAGCCACTTGCCGGGTCTGGGACACACACTGGTCCGGCGTGCTCTCAGAGGCCGCTGCAGCCAATTGCCACCGCTCCATCTTCAGAACTGTACTGATGCATCAACCTTGCTCGGTCCAGCTATCGTCGACGCCACCACGACGCCTAATGACACCTCATCCCTGCGGCAAACAGCTGAACACGTCGCGGTCGCCACTGATACACCTCAGCGTCATGCTGCCAAGTATCACCAGTCGACACAGCTTGAAGTCCTTGAAGGATCTGTCGTGCGTAGCACGTCTTCTAATTCCTTCCATTCGACCAAAGAATTCTCTATAATAACTCACAAATTCAAATCTACTAATTATTCTCTAATAGCACCTGCATCTGGTATAGCCACCAGCCTAGATAGAACGGGCGGGGGAAGAAAAACTAGGAGCGAGTTATTAGGACAGTGGGTAAGCTACTTAGGCTAGGGAATAGGTACCCTGCCGGCCAGGCATGACCAAGCGTAGCACCTGTCTGTCAGGCATGACTTAATATCTCCACCGAAGCTTCGTGCAAGACGAAGCCGCTTCACCTCCTGCCCCTGACTTCCAGCGCTGCCTGTCTTTCAGTACTACGAACAAATGTTGCAGTCTCGACCATCCTCGTCTTCACATGCTATGTTACTCCCCTCCATTTTTATATACAAGGCCACAAACTCAGATTACAGGTACTAATGTAAAATTTAATGCCTGCTTTGCAAGTCAGCTTTTCTTTTCGTTTACTGGGATCATTAATATGATGCATGCATGCAAGGAAACTGAATGGAGGAAATAGTTGACTGCCATTATGAGTGCATGCATGCAAGTATTAAACATGTTGCTAGCACAAAAAAATATTATTAATTTTGCCTCAATTACTGTTGGTGGCCTTGTATAGATGCAAAATGTATATTTTATAGTGACTTTGTATAAGTAAGTGGAGGGAGTATGTGATATTTCGCCGGCTGTCAGCGAGCAACAGCGTGCCGATCAGAGGCGTAGCCGGCTAGCCCCCGATTAGAGGAGTTGTCATTGCTGCTGAAGTAAAATAAACTCATAGCCTTAAATTTCAAATTTTCATTACACTCAAAACACGATAAGGCTTGAGTTGCACTTGACAGTCACTAGGAAAAGAAAAGTCACTAGGCTGACCGCGCAAAAAGAGGGAGACACTAGGCTGGCTAGTGGCTACCGTATTTTATGTACGGTGGGCATGTGGCATAGGGCTAACCCAATGATTCAACCATGGACAATAATGGAATCGTGGCACACACCTCTTCTGTATGGCAAGATTTTAGGGTATACTGAAATTCGTTGACCTCTCATGGATTTTACGATTTGTGCTAGTTTCCCAAGGAGATTTGCAATTACCGACGTGAGGCACCATCACAGAAGATCAATTATGCCCCTTTACTAGTGTGTCCATATTGAAAACAAAGGGAGGCCTTTGCTAAGTTCATTTAGAAAAACAATAGTCGATATTCATATAGCCATCTTATTATTTTTCAGCTGGCATGTAAGTAGTCTCCTCGTGGCCAAGATTAATTCATAGCCTTGAACTTGGTCTCTAACATGTGAACCAGCCATTGGAGGAGTTGCTTCCATATTGTTATCCTCCGTACAAAAATTGTTAACGTTGATTTTATAATAGTAGTTTTTTTCTAGCCGCCTAAGAAATAGCAAATCCGCTGAAAAAACATCCATGATTGTGCACGGAGATCATACTCAAAATTCAAAACGACATGTGATGCTGAACAAAGGGAGTACTTAATATAGTTAGCATGCAAGATTACATGGAGATAAATTGTTCCTGGAATGATTACACGTTTTGCATTACCAGCATGATACCACACTTATTTATATCAAAAATCCTAGACACACAAGAAAATTTACAGAGCATTAGGGGCTGTATCCAAACTAATCCCCCCCCCCTAATTTCAGAAGGGGTGTGGGCCCGTCAATTTATTTCTACCCAATCAAAATCAGCTAGGTAAGCCACTGTGTGTAATACTCTGTAAACATAATCCGTGCGTGTAGTATTGCTCTATTTATGTCTTGTTTTTTGCAGAGCTTTATTTATATCTTCACTGTGTCAATAACCATCGTTCCTTGAGATACATGTTCGTAGAGTCCGGCAATGTAGTCCTTGACCTTGACCTTTCTGTACAACGCCGGTCTGTTCTCATCTACCAGCTGACTCGCTGGCTCAATTTCTCTCTCGGGATCAACCGAGTAGAATAGAGCCAGCGATAACCTTTCTTTCTTAGCATTTGTCACAACTCTATGCATAGGGCTTTTGAAGATCCCATTGCTCATTATCTGTTAAAAATTTTATGATTAGGCCAAGAGCTTGAGGGACTTTTCAAAGAATAGTACAAACACATCAGATTTACTCGATGTGTGATGAATATTTTCACCTCTGACCACCTTCCTAACCGATCCATCCATGGCGGAGGTAGACCCATAATCATTTTGAAATATAATGTATATATATAACAGTTACTAATGACTGGTATAACACAAATGTGGGAAGAAAAATACAATCCTCATGACGTCTTTTCTTACCATTGTTATCCTTGACATGTTTGAAAATTGTAAAACCATGTAATTTTGCATACTTCCGTAAACAAAGATGTTAGAAGCACAAGAAAATTATAAGCCCACATGTAGCAATCGTTGTATAATTTTTTATGAATTAGAAACATTGTTTGGAAATTTTCAAATAGCATGCAAAGCTAAAGCGAAAATATATTTTTTATAAAAGAAATATCACATAGTTTTTTCAAGAAAACCACCAATTGTACATCATGTATACAAAATAAGTTTAGAGGTTAAATAATTAGGAGGCAACAAGTATAACTAAGAACCGAATAAGTATATGTATGATTAATGGAGGCATGCCATTTTTCTACAACTCGTGATTTTTATAGTGATATAGATACAAATTATAAATAAGTAGTGAGAATATATGAAATAAACTCCATAATAAACCACTGGTGGTTAGATGACCCAAGTTAATTTCTGCATAAAACCATGATTTGGACACACTATATCTTCACTGTGTTAAATAAGTCTGGGAAAAATATTGTGGAACCATTTCATGAATAATCTAATGTTACATTTTCATCTAAAATTCTAAATAAATTTTTAACCAAAGGTCAAAGATAAAATATTTTTTCCAAACGTTAAAATACAGTGCCTCTAGTTTTGTCTCAAGTCAAATTCAATAAACTTTGGCCGAACTTATGGAAAACATCTACAATATCAAAATCGACACCATAAAGATTCATAATAAAATATATTTTCATTTTGTAAATGTTTACACTTTCTATTTTCAGAACTGGAACAGAGACATTAGCGGTTCGATTGGCATACTGCGAGCGGAGGTGACGGTGTTTACCTCAGTTTGATCACCTATGTTGATCAGCAGGGTGTGAGGAACAGTCGGTACATCAAACCAGACGCCATCTCTCAAAATCTGCAGCCCACCAACGGTGTCATCGACCATGAGCACGGTAAGAACGCTCCCATCGGAGTGGGGCTTGAGGCCGAACACGAGCTCCGGCCTCGGGCACTCCGGGTAGTAGCTGAATCTAGCGTAGGTGTCAGCCTTCTCCCCAAACTTGTCCACAAAGTAGTCGTCGTCGAGCTCCAGCAGCCTCGCCGTTGCCCGGACAAGTCCGTCCTTCACCACCCTGCATTTCGTGGTGAACTCGTGCAGAAGATTTCTGAAGAAAAAAACAGAGTTGAGAACCTTGATATTGCTTTGTTACTTTGAGAGAGGACGATCCCATCGATCTTTGTGTGATCAGATCGCTGATCACCTGAAGGTTTGGGGATGCGCTGGCCAGAGGGCTAGGCTGCGCTCATCTTCGGGCTCCACCTTGAGGTAAAGCCGGTCGGACCAGTCGAGAATCTGCTCCGTCGAGCTCACCCGGTCGGTCCCGTAGCCCTCAAGCTGGAACCGCTCGCCGCCGATGAGGTTGGTGTATCTCTGCTTCTCTTCTGGTGGCTGCCGGAAGAACTCCCTCGAGGCGGCCATCATGCCGTCCATCACCGAGGTGTCTACGCCGTGGTTAGTCACCTGCAGACACACATGACACGGTACGCTCGCTCGCTCAATACGCAAGCTTTCAGTAGATGACAGCTGATTTGGCTCCGAAATGCCAGAGTGCGACGTGAGAATAGATGGCTAATTACCAGGAAGAGACCCCATGACTGCACCGCCAGCCGGAGCTTCGCCTCCTCGTTGTCAGCTGCGACGGCACCGTCCTGGTTGAAAAGGCGGCCGATGTCGATGACAGGCACCGGCGCCACGGCGGGCTGCTGGTCGTCTTCGTGAAGTCCGCGCGAGACGTACCGGGCCGGCACGTCGGGCTTGCCGAGGGCGCCAGCGAGCTCCTGCACCGTCGACGTCCATCTCGCTACCCCCATGCTTTCCATAGTTGCTCTTGCACGACCTTCCGTGGTTGGTCTGATCTTCCAGTAGCGTTCGTTCGATGTGACGACAATAGTCCGGCCGCTTTGACGATCGGCCGCGGGTGCTGGAATTATTATAGTCGCACACGTCGTCGACGATAAGGTGCGATCGAGGAGAGGAGCTAGCTAAGGGACAGTGGTTGCAGTTGCCCTTATCCTGATCCCTGCATGTCATGTGTTGGTGTTGCCGTTCCTGACAAGATCTGTTTTGATCGGATAAGGGAACCACAGTTAAGTTGTTCGGCGCAGCGCGTGAAGCTAGTGGCTGGCGGCACGAAATATCCAGCCATAGCGGTAGCGGGTCTCATTTTACAGACCTGATGCTTCATAGGCACATACGTAGCTTCAGCTTGGCTGGCCTCCCTGTCCGGTGGCGCGGCAGGCAGGTGGGCTGCCGGGCATCGGACCGGGTGGCCGGCGATCCACCGGAAGGTTGGTGCCACGGCTAGGTGCCCTGGCAGCTAACGACGCCAAGCTACAGTAAGTTGTTCAGCACAGCGTGTTGAAACAAAATTTTAAATAGCCGGCTATAGCCCAGCTATAGCGGTTTGAGCAGGTGTCGCTATGTTGTATAGCTGGCTAAACTTGTGAAATAGCCTCTCTATAGCTGATTTGTAGGGCCGCCGCTATTACCAAAAAGGCTCTCGCCCCGCTTTATATATAAAGCACGATCACAGCAATCCAGTACAAACACGCGCCACCACAACACACGCACACACCCAAGGCAAAATATATAGGCGCTGAGCGCGGCAACACCACCGCGGAGAGATGAAGCCACATATGACAAACCGTGGCTCCAAGGCGGCGCCTTCAGAAAGGATACGACACCGAATCACCACCACCGCCCAATCCGAGGATCAGAGTTTCCCCTGGAGCCGCACGACGGGCAATGAGAGTCGCGACGACACCTTCAAGAAGGGAACGAGCTTCGCCGCCGCCGGTCCGTCCGAAGATAGAACAGGTTTTCACCCCGGCCAAAACTCACCGCCGCCGAACGTCACACCCCGGCAACCATGCCGCCCACACGGCCATGGCCACCGGGCAGCACCAAGCCACGACCTCCGCCCGAGAGACCGCGCAACCACCACCAGGGCCGCCGCCCCCGCATCCAAGACCTTGACACCACATCACCCGAGACCTGCCGCTATCCCAACCAAAGAGACGAGCGGAAAGATCCCACCTTTCGCACCACCGGCCGACCCCCAGCGCCGAGACCCCATAGGCCGGCCACCTGACCTCCATCGACCCGTCCTGCAGCACCGGGCGCGAGGCGAGCTCGATCCCACAACACCGTGCGCGAGACGAGGTCAGTCCTGCTGCACGGTGCGCGAGACGAGCTTAGTCCTGCGGCACTGTGCACGAGACGAGCTCGAACCTGCGCATCGGGCGCGAGACCAGCGATGGACCGCAGCTGGGGGACGGTCAATCCTTCGACGAAGATAGCGGCCGGGAGCCGATGAGATGGATCGAAGGTCGAACCGTAGCCGACCCGCCGAGCTGCCGTGATGCCGGCTCGATGAATGGAAGCCGCCACACCAGATGGCCATGCCGCCTCGCCGCCGCCGTCCACAGCCGGAGCAACAACCATGCCAGGCCGATGCCCCAACCCGCGCCGCCCGCCGAAAACCGCCAGATCCAGCCGGCACGCACCACCACCACCGCCAGCAAGCCGTCGCTGCGCTGGTCACCACGCCGTCAGCAGCCGCCGCCCGCCGCCCAGGAGCACCCGGCCGCACCGCCCGCAGCCCTTGCCGCAGGAGCCCCCACGCGCCAGATCCGCGCCGCCACGTCTCAGCCCCACACGACCCACCACCATATGCGCCACCCGCCACGCGACCACCACCCAGCGCCGACCAGCGCGGCAGCTCGACGTCGCGCCGTGGCGTCCGGCGCCCGCACCGTGCCCCAGCCGGAGAGGAAGACCCGCGCCACTCCTCTGCCAGCGGGGGAACCAGAAGGCCCTGCCACCGCCGGCCCAGGCGAGCTTTGCCCGGCCAGGCCCTCTGGCGGCGGCGGGAAAGGAGAAGGGAGGGGGAGGGGACTTGGGGGCGCCGCGCCGGAAGCCCTCCCGCGCCGCCGCTATTTGCCATAGCCCATTATTTAAAATACTGATTTGAAGCCGATGGCTGGCGTCACGAAATATCCTGCCATAGCGGTAGCGGGTCTCATTTTACAAAGCAGATGCTTCACAGTACATACTTAGCTTCAGCTCGGCTTGCCTCCCTGTCCGGTGGCGCGGCGGGGCAGGTGGGCTGCCGATCCACCGGAAGGTTGGTGCCGCGGCTATGTGCCCTGGCAACCAACGGCGCCGAGCTACTTCTTCCTTCATTCACGGCAACGTGCAGTCCATCTTACCGGACATGGCCGCTGCTAGCCGGTCACCGAGATGGGGCGGAGCGCGTGGTGGGGATCCAGATTGGGATAATTCCTTGGTCGGCTCTTGCCGTCCGCGACGGCGACGACTCCCGAAGGTGCCAATTTTCTTTCTGAAGACGTCGTTCGGGTCCGCCCTACCTTTTCCCACCTTACGGTCTCTCAGGTGAAAACCCTAGGGCGGCGACGACGCTCTTGGTGTCGTGTCCTCTTGAAGGGGTCGTCGTGAGAACTATGTGGCGGTGGGCATTGAGGGAGTCCTGGATTAAGGGGTCCTCGGCCGTCCGGCCTGTTGGTATGGGCTGGACTGATGGGCTACAAAGATACAAGACCAAAGACTTTCTCCCATGGCCGGATGGGACTCTCCTTGGCGTGGAAGGCAAGCTTGGCGGCCGGATATGAAGATTCCTTTCTCTGTAACCGACTTTGTACAACCCTAGTCCCCTTTGGTGTCTATATAAGCCGGAGGGTTTAGTTCGTAGAGGCAAGGATAATCATAGTCATAATCATACAGGTTAGACTTTTAGGATTCTAGCCATTACGATCTCGTGGTAGATCAACTCTTGTAACACTCATATTCATCAAGATCAATCAAGCAGGAAGTAGGGTATTACCTCCATAGAGAAGGCCCGAACCTGGGTAAACATCGTGTCCCCAGTCTTCTGTTACCATCGACCTTAGACGCACAGTTCGGGATCCCCTACCCGAGATCCGCTGAGATCCACCGGTTTTGACACCGACAGGCATCGCTTGGGTACGTCCGCAGTTGCAGATGGCGTGCCCCTCTTCCTTCGGGTGGCAGTTGTTTCGGGGAGAAACCCTAAATCTGGGTCTCCTGGATCGCATGATGACGGAGACTTTGCTACCGTTCCGCCTCCTAAGAGAATGGTCTTGGAGCAGCGGTTCACTGAAGAGGACAATAGGTGGAGCGGGTTACATCGACCGCATTGAAGACGATGGGTCTCAGCGGCATGGAGCAGTGGAGTCTTAGTGTTGGACGCGGTTAGATCGGGCGTGCAGGCTGGTGGCGCTATCCGGTGGCGCGGCGACGTCGACAGCAGATGGGAGGATCTTTGCAGTGTTTCCTCCTGAAGATGAGATGGCGGAAGATGGCGGTGCGGATCCTAGAGCGTGCGTAGGCGTTGCATGTTATGGAGTTCCTAGATCGGATGGTCTTAAGGCCACTGGATTAGATTGTGTCTGTTATGCGGACATAGCACAACTGTATACTTGTAGATGTAGCGACTTTGTTCACCTAATATGTAGCTTCAACTTGATCCCTGTAATCATTTTTTCAGGCTCTGCTGAATAATTAATAAATATGGTTGTGTGAATCATACTAATGCAGAGACCAGGAGTGATGCTCGTTTTTGAAAATGGGTAAACACATCACACATGTCGTGCTGTCTGCATCGTCAAAGTGAAAATGCAAATGCGGCTCGATGAAGACAGCTGACCCAAACGTCCATAAAGGAATCCTAATGATTTTTTTTTCGTTTTTGTGCAGGAATGCTAATGAAATTATTGGGATGAAAATTATATCATCCTTTCTGACCTCCATACGGACTCATGTTTTTCATTTCTTATACATAGAACTTAAACTTAATCACTTCATCGCAAAAAAAACTTCAACTTAATCACTGTCAAGAAAAAAGAGCATGCAAATTTAACATGAAAATAACCGTGCGAATATCCCATGATATAAACGTTTGAAAAGATGTTAAAAAACATAAGCTATTATGGAGATTTAGATCAGAGAGATAGAAGTCATTGTCCTTCATTTATTGTCTCTATTGGAGAAGGCAGTGCCTAGGGTCACTTAGGCAAGCTTAGACGCTAGACAATGGCCAAACGCGTCGGCTGGTGCATAAATTGAGGTCTAGATAGGGAAAGCAAGAAATTTTCTACCCAAGCATGAAATCATGCCATATTGCGCTGATATGCCAAATAGGGCATATTCCAATGGCAGTTGCTAGCAGTTCACTTAAATAGACGATCTAAATTAGTATCAATACACATATAATAACTACAGATAGACCCTGATAGTGAAAACTATATTACCGCTTAGGCCATGCCTAGGGTGGATAAACACTGCCTAGGAGCTAGATGAAGGCCAACCGCTTTACTTACGCCTACCGCTTTTTTCAACCTTATTTATTGTTGTCCCTGTCTAACAAATACTATTAGACATCTAAACCTAGGAAATTTTGAATAAAAAGATGTTCCTCGGACACAGAATCATGATCCTCCACTACAGAAAATATACCCAAGTATGAAACATCCTTGGCGAAAACCCGAATAACCTCGGCTTTAGTGTAAGCCATGTGCTACACTCGGCTTACGGCTCTAGGCCTAATTTGGACCGGCTTATGTAACCGGGTGTAGTTTCACGGGTACTCGACTTACATATAGGCCAAGGTTTAAATAGGGGCTCTGGGCAAAATAAAGCCACGTGACGGCTTATCGGCGCTAACAGAGGTCCACGTGACACCCTCAATAAGCCAAGTGTGCCACTCGGCTTAATTTCCCAACCAGTACCATTGCGTAAGGACTACTCATTTGCAAGGAGAACACAACTCTTGCACACGGAA